CACATTCCAATTAATCTGGTTTAATTTATCTTAATCCGTGGATAACGCGGTTCCAGTTTGTAATGTTATGTTCTTAAGATTTATGAATTGGTTGTAAACGCTTGTAAGAGCATAGTTCAGAATGTTTTTATGAGTCGTAGACTAAGTAGACAAATTTTGCTATTTCGGCAGTCGTACTTTACCAGGCGGGCGCAAAACAGATAAATTGTTGGAACGCATACACACGACTCATTCGGCGTTTGTTTACCTGAGACATCTGAGGCACCGTCGCGACATCCGACTTTCTGTAAAGAGTCAAGTATATGCTGCAGCAGTTCGATCAGTGTTCCTTTACGATGCAGTTCAGTTCCGTTTTTACAACCAATAACCTTGCACTATCGTGCGCCGGGTTTTGTTGCTGCCCATTTGGATCAGCATTATGAGAAAGAATGAAAAGTTGAAAGTAGTATCAAAGAGAAAATTTAGAATTTCAGTGAGCTAATGTTGCAGAGAATTTGATGCAGGGCTTTAGCCATTACTGGAACAGGATAAAAATATAATGTCGAAAGGTTGGTAGCGCAATGATTTAGTTACTGTCACCGGCTTACTTCGGGTTCTAAGTTCAGAGGTTCGAGCTGCGCCACTCAGGTTTGGTGGTAGACAGCTTTTCTGTCGCCCGGCTCTATACCACACTCTGGCTAGTGGGGCATTATGTGGTTCACCACTCCAAGCCCCGGGGCCGAGGTTGCCGGTCACCATCATTAAACAGCAGGTTTTCGTGACTACGGGGTTCACCCCCGACTGTTGTTCATCACACAGGTGTGTAATAAAAAAACGCACTGGTCCATCAGACGAACATACTCGGCATGTCATGGGAACGTTCGGCCTTGGTCAACGTTGCGAAAATGGCGAACGCCTTAACCTTAACCGGCTAGTCGCGGCCAACGCTCGTTTTCAGTACCCCAGAAAACACCTGCTAACGTGGTACTCAGATGATGGTCGAACGACACACCGGATTGATTATAGTTTGGTACGTGCTCACTGGGCCTGTTCGGTGGGAAACTGCCGTTCCTATCGCGGCTCAGAAACTGGATCTAGGAACGGTAGGGACCATACTATACCCTTGTACGCACCCGCTTCAAGATCCACCTGACTACTCGCCGGAAGACTCGTCTCTCGGACAAATTCAACGTCGCGCTCTTAGAACAACCTGAGAGAAGGCAGGTGCTGCTGGACGCAACCGCTTCCAACACAGCCGAAACTTTCTTTGATGACTCAATTGTCGAAGCACAGTGGTCTACACTGAAAACGTCCATCAGAGAAGCGGCACTGGGATAGTTAGGTGAGGTTCTTCGCCACAGGAGAGACTGGATATCCGAGCGTACACTGCACTTGTCCGCAAAGGCAAGAGATGCGCGACTGATCATTTCTGAATTTCGTATTCTCCGTCGTCAAGCCACGCTCTGCCAAGAGTGATCGTAAACAATCCTGGAAGGCGATGGCAGACAGCATGGAGGCTGTAACCGTCGCAGTGAACTTTGGAAAGCGATTCCGTCTGATTCGTGTCGCAGTAGGAAAGAGGCAGACATTGGAACCACTGTTGCGTAGCACCATAGGCCAACTTATTCTGGGAAGTGAGCAAAAAATGCAGAGGTGAGTTGAACACTTCGACGGGCTGCTCAATCGACCATAAAACCAAGCTGGCTCTCTACAGGTGTCAAGCAGTTCTTTGACCCACCTAGTACGACAAAAATCGTCAATACAGTCACTTCTCCGAAAAATAGGAAGACCTCTGGAGAAGATAGGATGCCACCAGAGTTATTCAAAGCTTGCGTACCATCTCTGATCAATCCGCTGCACTCTCTTTTCCACACCATTTGGGAAAGAGAAGTTTTTCCAAAAGACTGAACGGCTTCAATTGTAGTCCCGGTTCCAAAAAAGGGTGATAGGTCTGGATGCAAAAACTACAAGGTTATTAGCCTCATTGATATTGCAGCCAAATTGTTTGCAGTGATACTGCCTAATCGCTTCGCAGTCGTCCAAAATACCCGCACTCGCCAGAAACAAGGGAGTTTCGCTGCGGCAGAGGCTGTTTCGAACAAATTTTCACTCCCAGTAGGATTCTGGAACGCCGCTACAAGTTCCAACAGCCTACCACTGCATGTTTCATTGACTCCCGAGCTACGTTTGACTCTGTCGATAGAGAATCCTTGTGGTGCATATTGCCGTCCGACTGGATGCCTGAGAAGTCCATCAGGCTTTTCAAGTCATACTATTCTGGAACCCGGGCACGCGTCCGTACCTGTTGAGAAGAATCGGTTGAGTTTGCCCTAAGCTCTGGAGTTAGGCGAGGTTGTCCCCTATCGCCGGTGTTATTCAATTATACCGTAGATTGGATAGTGCGACAATCACTGACCGACTACCCCGAAGTGCAGCTTAGCCCAGGTACATGGATTGCGGACCTCGAGTTTGCGTATGATGTCGTTGTACTTGTAGACATCATGGACAACCTCCAGCCTGTTGTCAGTCGTATAAATCAGTTTGCCCAGTTCATTGAGCTAGAGATCAACATTTTCGACCGAAACTTCTGCCATGACACAAACCCTTTCGATTAACGGGGCTTGTCAAATTAACCGAAGTTTTCAAGTATCTTGGTTAAGGATGAAATCTAACTCCGTGTAGAGGCAGCTAGAAGAGCCTTCCTGCAACTTCTCAAACCGTTGTGAAATCGGTGCAAAATTAGCTTAAACACTAAGCTTTGGGTTTATCAGGCCTCTATTCGCCCCATCCTCACTTATGATTATGAAACCTGGCCGCTAAGAGTACAAAATACAAGGAAGCTCGAAGTCTTCGATCATAGGTGCTTACGCCGCATCTTGGAAGTAAATTGGAGTGCTTGGATTTCCAATGATGAAGTTCAACGATGCTGCTTGAACAGGGACAAGCTTTCGAAAATGCTACAACGCCCGCGCCTTCTGTGGTTTGGCCATGCGCTCCGGAAGTTCGACACTCAACTTTCGCGACAGGCTGTAGCCCCCGCACCGTGCCGTGGATGGCGCTGCCGACTCGGTGGTCAATTGAAGACCTAAAGTAGAACGATCAAGGAGGATCTGGAATTACTGTTCAATCCGTATATGCGATTCGCAACTGGAACCAGAACTGTGTTTCACACTGCATCGACCTTGCTACTAATCGTCATGCATGGGCCGCCATCATTAGAGACATCCAAGAAGCCGACTTATCCCCCCGCAGGAGCTAGTCGATCACAAGTAAAAATAAGTATATGCTTTGCACCTTCTAAATGCAAAGTGCTTGTTCAAGACTGGCAGGAGCTTGTGCCTGCACTCACCGTCTGAGGTGATGATGACCTGGGAGTAGTCGAGAGCTTTAAGTGCCTCGGGAGCTTGATCGCAGCTGGTATCGGTGTTGAGGAGGAAATAACCTCAGGAATTGCAAAGATTAGAGCAGCTTTCCCCAACCTGCGACACCTGTCGCGCCGCCATGGCATTCGACTGTCCTTTGAGGGAAGTGTTTGCATCGCCGCAGTTCGTAGCTTTCTGCTTTACGGTTGCTAAACCTGGTCTCTCTGCGTTGAAGATGCTAATCGACTTTCTGTTTTCGACCACCGATGTCTCCAAAGCAATGCTCGTGTCTGGTGGGAACATCGGGTGATCAATGAACAGGTTCGTCGTCGTGTGTTGGGTGTGAGTAGTCGCTCTCTAACAGAGGTAATCGTCCTACACCGCCTCCGATGGCTTGGTCACGTTTTGCGCATGCTTGCTCGTCTACCTTTCCCTGCTCTCCTTGCACGCACCGGGCATTGCCGGAACAAAGCGCTGCGGCGATCAGACCATGACATGATGTAGACCTATGCAGAGGCTAGCCTCAGCTTTGGCTTCGGTTGGTACAGCCCGCCTTCTAGGTTGGAGCCCAAGGGCTGAGGACTGTCGTTGGTTCGAGACCCTGAGAGATATCACCCAGAATAGAAGTCAGCAGAGCGAATGCTGTACGGTATGGCTGTCAAAATCCCGTTCCCCGGTAAAAAGAAGACAAATTAACAAAGAATAATAACAGGTGTACGGTCAAACACAAAAAATGTTATTCTCTTTATGTACTACCTGCCTTTGTAACTGTTTCACCTTCCTTTCACTTTGTCCTGTATTTCATATCGCCCATCTCTTGTGATTATTAATTGTAATATTGTGCCATTGGCATCATACCTATCCGCAAAGCGGTTATATATATATATATATATATATATATTTCACACTCGTCCGTCGTCTGACCGTATGCAAACAAATCACGGTACAATAATGCATGATTTACATGTGGGCTGAATAATGTCAAGTTGCCCAGGTCAAAGCAGGTGAATTCTATTGAGGAGTCCGCAACCGGAGCCCTCAGCTGGCCAAAATCTGACCCGCCAGGTAACGGGGCGATATGCGAAAACCGCAATCCCTGGGGGGCGGTGTCCAGTTCTTCGGATCATATGCCTTTCGGACGGAGTCAAACGTCCAAGGTGCCCAATGCACCTCGATGCCCAATCGAGCCGGTAACCACTGCCGCAATCAGGACGGTGTGGGTGTGATTCGTGCGCCTCCTCTTAGTTGGTTTGGAATCAGGGTTTTTGGCTAACTATTGGGGGCGAAATACCAGTGGTCCACTCGCCCGGATGATGTGTTGGCTTTTCGTCCTCTCACTTTGGTGGAGGAAAACACCGGATGGTGAAAATATAAAGTATTGAGTCTTATAAATCTGTCTGTGTACGTCAGTTGCTGCCGCCGCTTGCAACCGCGGGGTGGTAACTATTCTTGTGCAACTGCAATGCCTTCATTTTTGGTCTCAATTCGCCACTGTTACGGACGTGAGTATAATTTTGTTCATACAAGTCCCACGGTTTATGTGGCTAGTTCCTACAACAAAATAATGTTCGCTTCATTGTGACACCTTATCACGGGGCGAGCCTCATAGTCACGAGTACCTGCTGTTCAGTAGTGAAAACTGGTGATCTAAGCCCCGGGACGAGGAGTGGCGATCCACCTAAGGCCTCGATAGGTTAGGCGTAGTCCTGAACCCGATGACAGCAAAGCTGCCTACCACCAAAGTCGGATGGTGGTGCTGGCAGGACTCGAACCTCAGATCATAGGATCTAAAAAGCACGCCGGTGATATCGACTAAACCCATGCGCCACTATCATCTATTCCTTTTACACACCTCAAAGCTGTGCCTATTATGACCTCAATGAGTTATTTTTAACCTTATTCCATATTCATCTTGCTCTTACGTATTTCCTTCTTCCCTCAGATCCCACCATGTCTGGCGATAACAAGGTTTGTTTACTGAATCTCGCTCATTCATTCGAATACACACATTTCTTCAGATCATTAAATGTCGGGCAGCGGTTGCGTGGTCACCAAAATCGCCCTTAACAATTGAAACCGTTGAAGTCGAACCACCTCGGACCGGTGAAGTACGCATCCGGATTACATCAACTGGAGTCTGTCATACCGATGCATACACACTTGATGGCCTCGATCCCGAGGGAGTTTTCCCCGTTATATTGGGTCATGAAGGTGCCGGGATAGTGGAAAGTGTTGGCCCGGGCGTGACTTCTGTGCAGCCTGGAGATCATGTCATCCCGCTCTACATTCCCCAATGTAATGACTGCAAATTCTGCACAAGCAAGAAAACAAATTTATGCTCCAAAATTCGGTAAGCCTTACTCAATAATCTGTGACTTGGCGTCTGTTTAGAGTCACCCAAGGCCAAGGATTGATGCCAGATGGAACTGTTCGATTCCATTGTAAAGGAAAACCCCTGTTCCACTTTATGGGCTGTAGCACATTTAGTGAATACACTGTGGTCGCGGAAATATCCGTGGCGAAAATCAATCCACAGGCTCCGTTAGATCGGATTGGCCTTCTGGGTTGTGGCATCAGTACCGGTTACGGTGCAGCTCTGAACAATGCAGGTACTGATTGTTAATTTGAGCCCATTCCCATGTGTGTATGGCTGTTCTCCCTTCGCAGGTGTGGATTCCGGTTCAGTATGTGCCGTCTGGGGTCTGGGTGCTGTTGGTTTGGCAGTTGTTATGGGCTGTAAGGCGGCCGGCGCAAAACGAATTATCGGTATTGATGTGAATGAGGACAAGTTCGAGAGGGCTCGATCGTTTGGAGTCACAGACTGCGTAAACCCGTCGAAGTTTAACAAACCCATCAATGAGGTGAGCCCACTCTTTTAGATAGTTTGAGAATAAGCAACAGTTATATCAGGACCACTCTTTGGCAAACTTAATCAAATGATGTCTATTTGATGTTGTGGTTCGTCTGGAAGCAAACTCATCATTACCCAATGCAAATGGAATGATGTTCCTTTTATTTTTTGTCAATAAGTTCAGTTCCCTTCTTACAACCATGCACTTTCACGCGCCAGTTTTGGTTGCTGTCGTTTGGCCGCCCATTTGGATAAAAAGCAGAATGAATATTGAAATGTTGAGAGCAAATTCAAGCGAAAGATAGCGAATTTATAAAGACTCAAGCTAAACGAATAATGAGTGAATGCATGAGCGCGAATTCCAACGGCTTTGTGTGAAAGTTCGCCAGAAGCTCCCACACAGGTGCTGCACTCACCCACGCGTTGGATCTATGCTCCACTGTCTTTTGGGTCAGGCTTTTGAGTCGATGGCTCCGGTTACGGTTCCCAAAAAAAGACCCTCTTCGTTTCTCACAGAACACATTGAGAGCAACAGCGTGGCTAACAAGGTCGTACGCAAATGTGTACGTCGGTGTTGCAACCGCGAAGTGTGCCATGTCCCAAAGTCTTACGTACTCAGTTGGAAAACCGTCGCATTGCACAAGTCTAGTGGGGAAACCGGACGAGCAATGCTGAGGTTAGGCGTAGAGTTTTAGGTAATCCATTGGAGCATGTGATCGACCTTCATAAATTACGCTGGTTAGGACATGTCTTACGCATGTCATCAGATAGGTTGCCACGGCGGGCGATGTTTGTCGAGGCAGGTAGCAGTTGGAAAAAGATGAAGGACGGTCAAACGAGGACCCTAACCAGGAGACTAGGTCACATAGGTCCCGTTAGGCCCCCTGGCTGGGGACCCCGAGATGATGGTCACCGATGATTACAGCCGAAATCCGGAGCTATAACCGGGTTGGTAGACGACTGGTAGTTCACCTAGAGGAGTTGGCCAAAAACCCCAATCGCTAACCAACCAAGAGAAGGCGTACAAACCACGATTGAGTATTGAGGTGTATTGGACACCTTGGACGTTTGACTCCGTCCAAAAGGCGTATGATCCGATGAAATGCACACCGGTCCTCAATGGATTGCGGTTTTCGCACATCGCCCCATTGCCTTGTGGGTCAGATTTTGGCCAGCTGAAGGCTCCGGTTGCGGATTCCTCAATAGAATTCACCTGCTTTGACCTGGGCAACTTGACATTATTCAGCCCACATGTAAATCATGGAGCTCTTTTTTTTCTTTTTATAACGATTATTGTACCATAATTTGCTTGGCACATAGTCTGTTCTCAGACAAGTGTAAAATATAATAATATCGTTAGAGACACTGAGTAATATGACTGCGTGTCACAAACAGTGGCGTTCATGCACCTACTCATTATTCGTGTATAAATTAGCTAGCCTCCTCCCAACATTCCAGTGTTCATTCTGCTGTTTTATCCAAATAGGCAACCAAAACGGGCGCACAAAATTGCGTTGTTAATGGTCATAAGAACTGAGCTGATCTTTCTCATCTGTCCTTTTCTCACTCCCAAACCTTAAGTGATGCATTCTGCTTGCGCCGCCTCAACTAATAAGGTTAACTACTCAGAGGTTGACACTTTTGCCCATAATCTATTGTGCATTCAATATTTGGGATTGGAAAGGCAGCCAGTCAAAGTAACTAGAGGGATAGAACGAAAGTGTTCGAAACTTGAGCGGTGACGTTCGTGGTATTCGAACACTTGACGTCCAGAGTGGTGATGGTGATGAAATGCACAGAGCATTCGGGTATAGTGGTTGTCTGTTGCCTTCCTGGATGGAGTCTAATAGACTCCGTGACTATTTAGCGACATATTAGCGAACCGTTAGCATTGGCCTTCTTGTTGTCACTTTCTGTCGGACCAGAGTGCATGAAAAGATGTGCCTGCACACTTAGATTGTACATTCTTTGTGTTGCCTATTGAGGTTCACTCCCTCCCTCCCTCCGAAAAAAAAAACAGGCCGAACCAATCTCCATCCTAACTATTCTCACTTATTTCGTATGCATTGCAAGCTTGACAGTGCTCTGTGAAATTCTACTCGACATATGTCGCTGTACGAGGATCATGCTGATGCTGATGATCCACATCGCCTGACCTCTACCATACAGTATTTTTATAAATCTCGCGACCATATCCTGACTGTGGTCGATGTCAGACGGTTGCCTTTTGGGTCACAAGGATCTGACATCCGTTGCATGTCTCTTGCTTTGGAATATCTCAACATGCTTCGTCTTCCTCGCTCTTTGTTAGCTTGAAAACCGTCAAGGATTCCAGATTCCGGAATATGCCCATTAAGGCATGAGAACACGCGTTTAGAGACAGACGGTTGCTTTCAACAATTCATCTATCTATTCGCCCCTGCAGGTCGTAGAAGAAAGAGTTGTGTGAATTTTTACTCGGGTAATTACTGGGAGAGGGAGCATTGATGCACAACGGTTCACACACACACACACACACACACACACACACACACACACACACACACACACACACACACACGGGTCACCATACCTTTACAATCAGGTTGTAATGCGTCGTTGCATGTGCGATCAATCTGCAACCATGGTAGTTGGATGGCCTGGTCTCATCTATTTTTTTTTGCATATCAGTGTAATTGAGTTTTTGGCAACTAATAACCATGTACCTTTCTGCAACAGTTTTGGTCGTATTGTATCGCATTAAAGCTTTAGCGAGTTATATAAATGCTATGAGCCAAAACATAGACCACCGTCACAGTTCTGCTGAAAAACAGGTGAAAAAGTGAGATGTGAAATGTACAAAAGTTTGAGTTGATTACTAAATGCATTAGAAAGCTGAGAAAGAACATTTACTTGTCGGTCAGTATCCGGGTAAGATAGTTTCTGTATGCAGATATCCAAGACGGGAAAAGTTTGTTCTTAGGACGGGTGCAGGGGTGGGATTTGCATGCACACAGGTCACTGTGTAGAGGATGGATGCAGTCAGATAGGATATTGTCAACAAACATCAAGTATGCGTCAATATGAGAACAGATAACGGAACTTGGGAGACACGGATGATCATTCGGAGGCCACACCTCAGCTCCTTGAAATCTGCCTTCAGCAAACCAGGGAAAGGTATAGGAGAGCAATAAAGGGGTATAGGAAGAACACATTGTTGAATAAAAGCGTTTATCACCGACAAATCGGAACAGAAGTGGAGCAGTCAACAGATAACGTGGAAGCGAGGCACGAAGAAATGCACAGAGCGATTCGGCGTCTCCCGTCTTCAAGGTGGGGGTCCGAAAGACTCTGCAACTGGCTGACCGGAGACATTGAAGAATATGTTGACTAACCGACAGCAGTGGCGTTCTTGTTATCATTTATTATCAGGGCAGAATGCTTGAAAAAGGTATGCATGAACACTTAGATTGTGTGCTCTGTTTGTTGAACATAGAGGTTATTTTTCTTTGCCTCCCTCCAATTAGGCCCAATCCCTCTCCATCTTGTGCTTTATCACTTGATTTGTATACATTGTGAGCTTGACAGTGATCAGGAAAGTTCGCTTCACTTTATCTCGCTGTACGATGATGATGATGAGTCTTATTTTAAAGTAGAGAACTTTCAACTTGCGAGCGACAGTTCGGGTATTCAAAAATCCGCGAGGGTTACGTCCAAATGTTTTTTTCAGTTCAGTTTCAACAACCGTTAACCACGCATATTCATGCGCCGGTTTGGTTTGCTCTCTTTTGGCTTCCCATTTGGATGAAGAATAGGAGAAGAAAGGAAACTTGAAAGTGGAGTCGAAAAGAAAATGGAGAAGTTCAGTGGTCTAAGGTTGCA